AGATGAGTCTCATTCATTTTCCTGCTTGGTCTGGCTTGGAATAGAGTCAGATCTCAGCCTCCTGAGTAGCCAGGATTACAGACCTGAGTCACAAGAGCCCGGCTACATACTTTTTTTTTTTTTTACCAGTCCTTGGGCTTGAACTCAGGACCTGGCACTGTCCCTGAGCTGCTTCTACTCAAGGCTACCACTTGAGCCACATGCCACTTCTGTCTTTTTCTGTGTATGTGGTACTGAGGAATCGAACCCAAGGCCTCATGCATGCTAGGCGAGCGCTCTACAACCAGGCACATTCCCAGCCTACATACTTTTTTTTAATGTAGTAAATACAAAGTTGGTATGGAGGCCCATCTGACCTTCAGAAGGAGTAGAAGGCTTTGAACTACCATCCTCAGTTCTCATCCTCCTGAGAGATAGGTAGTCCAGTAATTTTTAATCTGTCTGTCTCTGTCTGTCTGTCTGTCTGTCTGTCTGTCTCTCTCCCCACCTCTTCCTCCTCCTTCTTTCTCCCTCTTTCTCACTCTTTCCATGCCTCTCTGCCTCCACTCCTCTTCCCCTCCTCTTCCCCTCCTCCTTCCCTTCCTCTGCTGTACACAGAAAGAAAATTGCATAATGGTGCCAATCTTAAAAGCCTCATCTGCACATTATTTATAACTTGTAATAAGGGAGAACATTTGTTATTTTTTGAAAAAATTAATGTTTTTATTAGTGTTTTATTTATATGTTTTCAGGGAGGATTTATATTTTGTTAATCCTGTAGAGGCTCTTTCCTCCCTTAAAAAATTTTAATAAGTTTTTTTATTGTGAAAATACTGTACAGAGGGATTACAGTTACATGAACAAGGTAATGAGTACATTTCTTAGCAAGCATTGTTGCCTCCTCCTTTGTTTTTCCCGTACCATCCCTTCCCTACCACCTCTACAACTATACTCTTTCCCCCCCCCTCCCCCCCAATTTTTTTTTAAATTGTAAGCTGGGTGTTGGCTACTCAGGCCTGTAAGCCTAGATACTCAGGAGGCTGAATCTGAGGTTCAAAGTTAAAAGCCAACCCAGACAGAAAAGTTTGTGACACTGATCTCCAATTAATCAAACAAGCCAGAAGTACAGGTGTGGCTCAAGTAGTAGAGCACCCATCCTTGAGTGAGAATAATCCAAGTGAATACAAGGCCCTCAGCTCAAGCCTCTATACTAGCACACAGAGTTTTTGTTTTGTTTTGTTTTGTCAGTCATAGGGCTTGAACTCTGGGCCTGGATGCTGTCCCTCAGCTCTTCAGCTTAAGGAGAGTACTCTACCATTTGAGCCACAGCGCCATTTTGGTTTTCTGGTAGTTAATTGGAGATAAGCGACTCACGGACTTTCCAACCTGGGCTGGCTTTGAACCGTGATCTTCAGATCTCAGCTTCCTGAGTAGCTAGAATTGCAGGCGTGAGCCACCTGCACCTAGCTCAGAAAGTTTTTTTTAATATTAAATGCACAACTTGAAATTTGCCATTTTAACCATCACCAACCACTGCCATTTCTAGAATTTCTAATTTTTTTCAAATAACTCAGTGTACATTTTTAAATGAATTCTATAGGGCTTGCCTAAGTGTGCATGAAGCCTTGGGTTCAATTCCTCAATACCACATAAACAGAAAAAGAGGAAGTGGCACTGTGGCTCAAGTGGTAGAGTGCTAGCCTTGAGCAAAAAGAAGTTCAGGGACAGTACCTAGGCCCTGAGTTCGAGCCCCAGGACCCCTCCCCCCAAAAAAAATAAAAATAAAAAAACAAAAAAAGAATTCTACATTCCCCTCTAGCTCCTGGTAAGCTCTCTGCTTTTGGTCTGGGAATATACCTATTAAAGCATGTCATGTAAGTGGGATCATATACTATTTGTACTTGTCTTTTCATTGTCTATTTTGTAGTGTGTGCGTAAGTATATCATACTTTTAAAAATTCATCCAGTAACAGACGTTTGGATTGGTTCCACCTTTGGCTTTCTGTGAGTAGTGCGATGCTATGAGCGCTGGGATAGGTTCAAGTCCATGTTTTCAGTTAGTAGCAGTATGTATCTAGAAGTGCAGTTGCTGGATTGTGTATGATAATTTTTTTGGATTTTTTTTATGTTTATATGCTGGTCATGGGCCTTGAACTCAGGGCCTGGGCACTGTCCCTGTGCTTTGAGCCATTTCTAACTTTTACATTGGAGAAAAGACACTTGTGGATTTTCCTGTCCAGGCTGGCTTCAAACCATGATCCTCAGATTTTAGCCTCCTAAGTATTTTAGGATTACAGGCCTGAGCCACCAGCTATCACTTCTGTTTAACTTTTTGAGGAACTTGGAAAAAGAATTTTTAAAAGACTTTTTTTGGGGGAGTGAGGTAGCAGTGCTGGGGGTCGAAACTCATGACCTTATCAAGACAGGCAGTCTTTATTTTTTTTGGGGGGGGTCCGGTTGTGGGGCCTGAACGCCAGGCCTGGGCACTGTCCCTCAGCTCTTCAGCTCAAGGCTAGCGCTCTACCACTTGAGCCACAGCGCCACTTCCAACTTTTTTCTTTTTGCTTATGTGATGCTGAGGAATCGAACCCAGGGTCTCAGGCATGCAAGGCAAGCACTCTACCACTGAGCCACCTTCCCAGCCCAAGACAGGCAATCTTGATCTAGGCCCCAACTGGATTTTTTTTTCTTTTGTAATTCCCACCAACAGTGCACAAGTTTGATTTTTTTCTGTCTCCTATTCAATATTCAGTACTTGCCAGTTTTTTAAAATAGTTCATTGTTATTATAAAGGCAATGTACTTTATAATACAATTGTATTATAAAGGCAACTGTACAATGTACAGTTATATAAGTCAGTTAAAGAGTTTATTACTTTTTTTTTTTGGGGGGTTCGGTCGTGGGGCCTGAACTCTGGGCCTGGGCGCTGTCCCTCAGCTCTTCAGCTCAAGGCTAGCGCTCTACCACTTGAGCCACAGCACCACTTCCGGCTTTTTTGTTTTTACTTATGTGGTGCTGAGGAATCGAACCCAGGGCCTCATGCATGCAAGGCAAGCGCTCTACCACTGAGCCACCTTCCCAGCCCGAGTTCATTACTTTTTGGGCAGTTTTACCCCTTCCCCCTCACTCCCAGTTTCTCCCTCCTGTCTCCACCCACAACTTGAATAGTTCATTTTCAACATAGTGCCTAATGAGTACTACTGCTGCATTTGTTCAGCCTTTTCCCTCCATTTCTGTATCCTCTCCTAAAGACAAATAAACAAGACAGAAAACAGAAACAATAGAGAAAAAAGCCTTGTTTCATTTCCTGAAGTTCTCATTTCATTAAAAATTATTTTATATATTTTATATATTTTAAATATATTAAGATATCTATCCTGATGCTAGAGTACAGTTTACATGGTAGAATGCTTACATAGCAAGCACAAGGCCCTAGGTTCAGTATATGCAAATTTTAAAACATTCTTGCAATTTAGCAGGTAGAGATAGGAGGATCACAGTTGTAGGCCAACGTAGGCAGTTAGCATGCAGTACTAAGTACCTTTTGAACAACACATTTCTCAGAGTTCTTTTTTTTTTTTTGGGTCCGGTCGTGAGGCCTGAATTTCTGGGCCTGGGCCCTGTCCCTCAGCTCTTCAGCTCAAGGCTAGTGCTCTACCACTTGAGCCACAGCGCCACTTCCGGCTTTTTTCTTTTTGCTTATGTGGTGCTGAGGAATCGAACCCAGGGCCTCTGGCATGCAAGGCAAGCGCTCTACCACCTTCCCAGCCCCCACATTTCTCAGAGTTCTGAAGATAATGGTCAAATGAAGTTTCCAGGTTAAATATCTGCGTTCTCCTAGATAGTGCTCTCTCAGTATGTCCTACTCTGATGAAAGGACACGCTCCCTTTGGATCTTTGAGGAGGGCATTAATCCCAGTATCTCCAAAGGCCCTCTTTCTTAGCACCATCATCTTTGGGGTTTGGCTTTCACCATCTGAATTTTTTGGGGGGAGGGTCTGGTCGTGGGGCCTGAACTCTGGGCCTGGGCGCTGTTCCTCAGCTTTTCAGCTCAAGGCTAGCGCTCTACCACTTGAGCCACAGCGCCACCTCCGGCTTTTTTCTTTTTGCTTATGTGGTGCTGAGGAATCGAACCCAGGGCCTCAGGCATGCAAGGCAAGTACTCTATCACTGAGCCATCTTCCCAGCCCCATCACCATCTGAATTTTGAGGCAACATTTAAACCATAGCATTTGCCATGAGGTAGCTATTTTTTTTTAATGGTGTTTGGATTGAACCCAGGTTGTTGAGCATGAGAGAAAGCACAGTCACTGCACTATACTCCCAGTGTATAGATATACTTTTATTTGTGTCTCAGCTCAAAAGTCCAGAGCCATAAATATCTGTACTACATTTTCTTTTAGTAAAATCTCTTTCCCTCCCTCCCTACTTTCTTTTTCCATTGCCCTTTAAGGCATTCAGGTTTCTTCCTGAATTCTTCTGCTGCTGGGACCTTGAACTTTAGTTTTTTGTCAGGAGAGTTCAGGACAAATTCAGCTTTTGAACTTTATTTTTCTCACCATATTCTAATGCTTCAGAGGATATTTCTTTGGTTTTCTGATCTAGTTTTTCTTGTCATCAACCATACTATCTACAGAAAAAACTTTGTTTTTTTATTAATGTGCAGACATGATTGAATTTGAGAAAAAGGTTAGTGCTCTGGGTGAATGAATAAGAATCTGATCCAAGATTGAAAAGCCTTATTTTCTACATTTCATAATACTCAGGTTCCTCCCTCTCCTTGTTTTTATTGTATCTTACTAATTTGAGTTTCTTTCTTTAGCACACACATATATAGATGTTTGTATAGTAGAAAAGACATTTATTGTGTTGTCTCTTTAAAGAAATACGGTATTTACAAGAAATAGAAGAGCAAGTTAAAAGAAAATCTAGAATCATCAGAGAGCTTGGAAATGCTCAAACTTGTTTTACATTGACTAGTTCTATTAATGAATACTTATCTCAGTTTGTTTTTATTTCAGCTTTGGCTAGATCAGAGTCTAAGAAAGATGGAGGTTTTAAAAATAATTGGAGCTTTGATCATGAAGAAGGAAGTGAAGGAGATACAGATAAAGAGTAAGGATTTCTTTCTTGCCTTAGATATTTTATAAGAATTGAACTATTCATTAGAGAATTAATTCCATAGAAAAATTTTTTAACAGTATGGTGGCTTTTGTTTAACTCTAAAATAGTAACAGTAAGGAAAGATAAAACAATTCTTTATTGGTAGTTAATTTGGTGTACTATGTATACATAAATATGATAGCTTAAAAGTGTACCACAGGAGATTTCAAATTAAGACAATAGTTCTTTTTAAGAGAGGGAAAAAAACATTCCATTCAGGCAATAAGTTTTAAAAAGCCTTTATCATATGTAAGTGAGCTGAGATCCCTTGAATTTCATGTAAATTTAAATCTTGTTTTCTTAGGTCAGGTTTTTGCCATTTACAAAATGCTTTCATCTTAGATCAGATTTCCACCAAAGAAATGAATGTTGGTATAGATGATAAACCTAGGTGTTCACCCAGGCAGACGTTAAGAGAAGTGTTCCCTACATTCTGTTGAAATACTGGAAAGTATACGGTGTTAAAAATATATTTTATCTAAGCACCAGTGGCTCACACCTATAATCCTAGCTACTCCATAGGCTGAGCTCTGAGGATCATGGTTCAAAGCCAGCCTGGGCAGATAAATCTGTATCTCCAATTAGCCAGTAAAAAAGCTGGAAGTGGAGTCATGGCTAAAATGGTAGATTACTAGCTCTGAAAAGGGAGAGCAAGAACAGGAGACCCTGAGTTCAAACCCTAGTACCAGTATGTAAAAATATAAGATTTTTGAAACAAGGTCTTGCTATATAATGCAGAATGGCTTGGAACTTGCTATGTTCCTCAGGCTGGCTTCAAACTTGGTGATCCTAGTGCCTTGGCAATCCTTAGTGCTAGGGTTACAGGTATATGTAATTTTTTCCCCCCAGTGCTGGAGATTGAATCTTGGTCCTTGCCCTTGTTAGGCAATCAGTACAGACTACTTCCCCAACCCTAAAATAATAGTTTAGTGTATTTTCATGCTGTAAGTGCAGGAAGTGGAGCTGTGGCTCAAAGTGGTAGATCACTAGCCTTGAGCAGAAAATCTCAGGGTCAGTGCCCACACTATGGGTTTCAAGCCCTACAACTAACAAAAAAAGAAAAAAAAATTTTTATGATGCAAATTCATCTTGTTTCCAGATCCTTGTTACTGGATTAATTCTGAAAGAAACAAACTCAGAAAGAAATACATAATATACATACAAAAGTCTATCAGAACTATAAATGGTTTTTAAAGAAATCTGAACACATGAAAACACTCAGTATATCGAATCAAAATTATAAGTGCTTTATTTCTCTGAGAAATAGCTCTGTTAATGTGATCATTTTAGATTCCTTTAGGTTTTATGTAATGAGAATTTTTAAAAAATAAGTTGGCATAGTTTTTTTCAATCCAAATCAGTTCATAGGTACAGTATATCTTAGTGTCACCTGTGGAGAACTTTGAACTAGTAAATTTCTAATTTAAAGTCAATATCTTATGGTCTTATTTCTTGATTTTTAAATATTTAAAATATTTTCTCTCATAAATACTTTTTATTCATGTAGTTTTGAAAAAAATTAAATGTGTAATTAAGCTGAAAGTTTACATATTTTTCTACTCCTTGTATCATTAAATATAAGGTGGTTTCCAGCATTAAAGGTGGGATTATTAGAAAAGAAATGAAACAAAACAGTTTACATTTTTATTATAAGTAGGTTATAATAGTAGGATTTTACTATGTGTAACAGAATTGTCTTACAAAGTAGATTTTATTTCCTTTGGAAGATTCACCATGGTTAATATATATGTCCTTTGAATGTACTGCTTTGTTCATAAGGTCCTAAGGGACCTTAGTGTTTTTTATCATGTTGAGATTAACATGACCTATTAATATATTAGTCTGATCTTTTAGAATCAGGCTAATGAATCTTAGTGAAAGGTTGATAGTTCCAAGAGTGGTGAACTTATATCATGGTAATATCATTGAAATTACTTTCTTGTCATTAGCTATTTTTTTCCTTCGAAAGAGTGTTTCTTCTGTATTTTGTTTTTAAATTCTTCTCTAAATTTTAATGCAAAACAAAAAGGGAAAATGAATGAGAATATAAAATACATACTTAGCAAAACACAAAATTATGTGTTCATTTAGGGATCAGCAAACCATAGCCTATGGATCAGATCCTGGCAGCCACCTAGTTTGTTAATGTATTGTAACACAGCCATGTATATAATTTGTGCTTGTTTTTATATACTACAATGACAAGAATAAATAGTTGCTATGCAGACCATATTGCCTGCAGAGCCTGAAATACTTAATATTTGGTCCTTTTCAGAAAAAGTATGCTGATTCCTTGATTCAGTAAAAGCATAGAGGGACAGACCTACTGAATTTAATGTGGTGATTATAATTGTTACTTAAGGAATTTTTCTCCCTTATTTCCTATATAGTGGGGCACATCTACTCAGTGTAGAAGATAAGGATTCTCAAACTTCAAATGGAGAAAAGGCAAGTGTTGATTTTTAAAGTGTTTTTCTTTTGGACTACATATTTAAAAATGTTACCTTCAAAAGATCTGCATATTTTCAAATATATTTTTAAGGAGTTGTACAGAGGGATTACAATTCCATAAGTCAGGTAATAAGTACAATTCTTCCTGGGCAATGTCTCCCCTTCCTTTGCTTCCCCTTCCTGTCCCTGCCTATAGTTGTATAGTTCATTTTTTACATAGTGTGTATTGAATACCATGACTGTATTTGTTTATCCTTCCTCCATTTCTGTGACCCCTTCCTTTTGCCCCCTTTAAGAAGACAAAATCAAAACAACTAAAAAATAATAGCAAAAATAAATAAATAAAACATGTTTGAAATTTTGGGGGGGGGGGGTCGGTCGCGGGGCTTGAACTCTGGGCCTGGGCGCTGCCCCTCAGCTCTTCAGCTCAAGGCTAGCACTCTCCCACTTGAGCTGCAGCGCCACTTCTGGTTTTCTGGTAGTTTATTGAAAATAGAGTTCACGCACTTTCTTGCCCAGGCTGGTTTTGAACCGTGATCTTCAGATCTCAGCCTCCTGAGTAGCTAGGATTATAGCCGTGAGCCATCAGCACCCGGTACATGTTTGAAATTTTAAGTCCCAACCTTCCTCTTTCCCACCTGAAACAAATATTCCCAGTTTCATGATTTTAAGTTTAATTGGCAGGTAGCTTTGTATTACTGTAACAAAATACTTACCAAAATATCTATATGAACTAAATAAGGGAAGAACTTTGTTTTGGCTCTCAAAGTTTTGGAGCTTTTACTCTATGGCGCTTGGGCCTATGTAGCAGGGTAGCATCATGGAGTGAGCCAGGTAGTATAGGCAGCTTGTTGCTTCTTGACAGCTGAAGCAAAGAGAGAAAAGGAAGGAGCCAAAGTCTCCACATCTCTTTCAAGGACATTCCCCTAGCCACCTAATTGCCTCCCATTTCCAAAAGGTTCAGTCCAGAGCCTTGCACATGCTAAGGAGGTTCTCTACCTTTGAGCTATATCTCTTGGCCTAAGACAGGTACATTTCTACATTTTTGGTATATACTTAACTTATATACTTTATTGCAGTGTGTCATTTCCCCACATTTTTACCAAAATGTAATATTACATAACTTTTATTTTTTTGTTGATTGTGGGGGCTGAACTTGGCCTGGGTATTGTCCCTCAGCTCTTTAGCTCAAGGCTAGTACCCTACCACTTGAGCCACAGTGCTTATGTGGTGCTGAGGAATTGAACCCAGGGCTTCATGCATGTGAGGCAAGCACTCTACCACTGAGCCAACTTCCCAGCCCCTAGATAATGTTCTTGTAACTGAAAGGTTCTAAGTTTTTAGAAAACCAAATTTCTATAGTTATGAATACTTGAACCAATATATTTATGATTATTAAACCTATGCTGTAAAATAAATATTGCAAGGATCACAGCTCTGGAACAATGAAAACCTTAAATAAAAGTGCTGAGAAATTCCAGTTTCGTTATAGTGTCAGTGTTTTATGCCAAAAATGATGTAAATATTGAGCATTTAAAAATTAATAAGGGGGCTGGGAAGGTAGCTCAGTGGTAGAGCGCTTGCCTTGCATGCATGAGGCCCTAGGTTCAATTCCTCAGCTCCATATAAGCAGAAAGAAAAAAGCTGGAAGTGGCGCTGTGGCTCAAGTGGTAGAGCACTAACCTTGAGCTGAGGAGCTGAGGGACAGCGCCCAGGCCCAGAGTTCAGGCCCCACGACCGGACCCCCAAAAAACAAAAATTTCTATCACTTTTGCTTTTCCATTTTACGATGTAACTCACTGAAGAAGATATTATCTTGGCTCAAAACTTCCAATTCCAAGCCTTGCTTCACCTTTGAAGGGAATAGACATGAAGCAAGGGAAGGCAAGAAGCCCTACAATTGTTTTGTAGCCAGAAGAGATTTCAGATACCAATATTATAAATTGTTTCTTTTTTTTTTTTTATTTTAAACTTTTTATTTGGAAATAATTTCAAATGTTACAAAATAAAAATAGTACGGTGTTAAAAGAGTACAAAAATACACGTTCTATATCTAGATCAACCTTTGTTGATATGCCACACTTTTTGTCCTTGTTTCTTAAACTTTTTTCTTCCAATAGGGTAATCTGCATATCTATCACCATCCTTCAGTGTGTATTTCCTAGTGGTAGGAAGATGATGTTACCTAATGTACATGTGAAACAATGAAATAAGCAAATCTGTCATTCTGAATTCCTGTTTAGTCAGTTTGCCCAATAATACCCTGTCGTTTCCTTCTGAAGAATAGGACTCAGGAGAGGCCAAACAATGCATCTTGTTGGCATATCTCTAACCTGTTTTAAACTACAACAAGAAGTAGCCGTTGTAAACAATGCACCTGATGTATTGAAGAACCTGAACTTCGAGGGCAAGGGCTTGGCTGGTCCTGAGTGCTGCCCAGAGCACTACCTCTTTCACTGCCACCCCCCCCCATCCCCAAGTGGTGAGAGAGTGACTGAGGGTGGGTGTTCACACTAGGCGTGAGTGACGTTGGTCTTGGGCAATAAATTGTTTCTTACAGAAGCTTTTTTAGACCCTAATACCATAGACAGTTAATACTTTTATAAAACGAAAAGTATTCTATCAGGAAGGGAGAAATCAATCAGTATATGAAAAATGGAGACTGGGGATTGAGAAGTTGATTCTTTTAAAAAGATTAGTACTTTTTTATTCTTTACAAATGCTTAGTGGATTCTTCAGCTCATATACTTGAATTTTGAGTGACTTAATAACAAGTAGGTACATACAGATCAGGAGTGGATAACCTGTTTATCTGTTGCTGCTAATTGTGATATTTCTAACATTCTTAGGCTATATAAAAATTACCAATACTGGTAGATGCTTCTGTTTGTCTCATAGTATACTAAATAATTTCAAAGGCCTATAACAACCAGGCTGTGTGATTTCCCCCTACCCCACCCTGGTTTAAATCAATATTGTTTCTTTTCTCTATTTGAAAGTGTACATGGAATTAGAATTTACTTTCCTGTTTTGTTTCACAGAATAATCCTTTTGCCTTTGGGCTTCTACAGTTACAATGACATTTATATAAAGATTCTTTGGTTGTGAAAGCATTAGTGATTATCTCTGTATATTGCCTTTTTACATTTTGGGGAGATTCATTATAGATAGAGTAGGACCATCATTTTTCATGTTCTTTTAGAGCCTGTGTTTTATTTTTAAAAGGAAAAAGAAAAGAATAAAGGAACAAGAAAAATCTTTTTCTTTTTTTTTGGTCGGTAGTGGGGCTTGAACTCTGGGCTTGGGCGCTGTCCCTACGCTCTTCAGCTCAAGGTGAGCGTTCTACCGCTTGAGCCACAGCACCTCTTCCAGTTTTTTAGTTGTTAATTGGAGATAAGAGTCTCACTGATTTTTTTTTTTTTTTTTTTTTTTGGCCTGGACTGGCTTTGAACCGTGATCCTCAGATCTCAGTCTCCTCAGTAGCTAGGATTACAAGTGTGAGCCACTGGCGCCGGGCAAGAAAAATCTAGTAATTTCCTCATCTCTACCTCCGTTTATTTTCAGCTATATCTGATCTGCTGAGTAATTGATTTATTCTTCCTCCCTCTTTCCTCTCCTTCCTCCTCCCTCCCCTCTCCCATCTCTTCCCCTTCCTTCCTCCCCCTCCTTCCCTTCTTTCTCTTCCTCCTCTTCCTCCTCCTCTTCCTCCCTCCTTCATCATTGCTTGTCTTGGGGCTTCAACTCATGGTGCTATCCCTGAGCTTTTGTGGTCAAGGCTAGCACTCTACCACTTGTGCCACAGCTCCACTTAATTGGAGATAAGTCTCATGAACTTTCCTGCCTAGGCTGGCTTTGAACCACGGTCCTCAGAGCTCAACCTTCTAAATAGCTAAGACTACAGACTTTCATTGCTTACTATTTATTTAGTAGTCAGTTGTGGGGCTTGAACTCAGGGCCTAGGCTGAATACTTTTTAAAAATTGGTTTGTGATCATTTTTGGTGAAATACACCACATATTGGTAATTTTATCAACATTTCTCATTTCCAGGGAAATTGTAATTCATGCAGGAAAACATCTTGAACAGTGCTAAAAATGTTAGTCAATTTATGGTTCATTGCTAGAATGATTTTTACATCTTTCAGTGCTTGAAAAGGATCAGAATACTACTATTCATGTCAAATGAAAATGATATAAAATTCAAATTGATGGGCATAAGTAAAATTGCACTGGGCCATATTCATTTATTCATTGTATTTGGCTGGTTTTATGCTACCATAAAAGGTTTTGGACAGTTAAGTTAAATGTAGAAAGACTTGTCTGAAAGACTTGTCTGACCAACAAAACCTAAAATATTTATTATCTGGCCATTTACAGAAAAAAGCTGTTCTCTGTATATTCTTTGTAGTGATGTCCAGTGTTTTGGAGCGGATGGGGGACCGCTGACATAATATGAATCAGAATATCAATTCCAAACTTGCTAAGAACTATTCACTTCATAAGATGGTTGTGAGGTTTATGTCAGACTGTAGTTTATATAATGCATAACACTAGCAGTTTTCCACAGAAGCTACATTAGCAGCATTATATGCAATTATTGCATATAATATTGTAAGTTTATAGTATATAATTGACTTCTGTTATGCCCATGTTTATAGTGAGTTTTCTAATGTGATTGGTTTGTGCTAATCCATCTGTTCACAATAGTTCTGTTTTTTCAGGGAGAGGATTTTTGTTTTTGTTTTTTTCCCCTGGGCCTAGGGCTTAAACTCAAGGCCTAGACTCTGTCCCTGACCCTCTCTTTGCTCAGGGCTAGTGCTCTACCACTTAGGCCACAGTGCCACTTCTGCTCACGGACTTTCCTGCCTAGGCTTGCTTTGAATCACAATCCTCAGATTTCAGCTTCCTGAGTAGCTAGGATTACAGGCGTTTGCCACTGCTGCCTGGTGAGAGTATATCTTTTTTCTTTTTTTAAATTTCTTTATTGAGCTTAAGTGATTACATAAATTTCACAGTATTGTGGGATAGTGATGCTTAACTAAAGTCACAAGCACATTTTAACCTTCACAAGGCGAATTGTCATTGTCATGATCTATAAAGCTTATGAACTCTACAAACTTTGACAATACAACTATTTCTTTCAGATCAGGTGGTAAGTACATTTCTTAGCTTTGCTTAGTGTCAGCTGTTTCCTCTTTCCCTCATCCCTCCCTCCCATCACTGCCCTTGAGTTGCTTAGGTCACTGTCATCAATGTCCAGTGCAGCTGATGGGCCCTTCCGATTCTGTCTAGCTTTCCTCATATGTGCACATGTATCTACCATGTAGGGTCAAGAATATAAAGTCATCTAAAAACCATGTGACAAATTAAGAAGAGGCGCTTCGTTTCTTGAGTCCTGTTTACTTTGTCACATGCAAGAGAACATTTTTTAATTATCTTTTCGTGATACTGCAGTTCAAACTCTGCCTTGTACTTACTAAGCAGTCTACCATTTGAGTCTCATCTTTTTGCTTTTTTTTTGTTTTCTTCAGATAGGGCCTTGGGCCTTGGACCTTTCCTCCTACTCTTGGCCTTTCAAGTTGGTGGGATTATAGGCATGTACCACCTTGCTTGGCTCAAATTTAGATCTTTTTTTTTTTTTTGCCAGTCTTGAACTCAGGCCTGGCCACTGTCCCTGAGCTTCTTTTGCTCAAGGCTACCACTCTACCACTTGAGCCACAGTACCACTTCCAGCCTCTTCTGTTTATGTGGTACTGAAGAATCAAACCCAGGGCTTTATGCATGCTAGGCAAGCACTCTACCACTGAGCCACATTCCCAGTCCCTCAAATTGAAATCTTAATACCACGGCCTCCTGCATCGCTGTATTGCAGGCAAGCACCACCCCACTTTGTTTGGCATTTGAGACAAGGTTTCAATCAATATGTAGCCCAGGTTTACTACCTTGAACTTGCATTCCTTCTAGTATAGCCTCCTGAGTGCTAAAGTTCATGCATTACTTGGAAAATTGTTTTATGCTGAGGAAGAAGGGCAGATTAACTGTGCTTTTTCAAGGATTTTTATACATCATCTGAGTTTTATGAATATAGGAGTACTCTAAATCTTGACTTACTTGTACTTTTTTTTTTTTTTTTTTTGTGCCAGTTATGGGGCTTGATCTCTGGGTCTGGGCATTGTCCCTCAGTTCTTCAGTTCAAGGTTAGCACTCTACCACTTGAGCCACAGTGCCACTTTTGGCTTTTTCTGCTTATGTAGTGCTGAGGAATCAAACCCAGGGCCTCATGCATGCAAAGCAAGTACTCTACCACTGATCCACCTTCCCAGCCCTTACTTGTACTTTTTTCCTTCCCAAAGCAGTAATTTGGTGTAGATGATCAATTTAGGACAAAAATAAAGTCATGAAAAGGAAAAACTATTTGGAGAGTTTGCCAACTGTCTAAAATAGTTTGTGTTGTATTTTAATTTTGCCTTTGCCTATGAATTTTCTGGCAGCTGGAATTGTGTTTTACAATTTTGTACTTGGAAATCTGTACAAATTTACATTGAATGATTCTTTTATAGAGTGACATTTTCCTGTAGCTATGTGTCAAGTGTAACATATAGAAACCTTTTCTAAAGGAACTTGACAAAATAATAAATGCTATCTTTGATGACATACATAGTTACCTGAAGAAGCTGGAACAACTGGTTGTTTATTGCTGACTAAAGTTATCTAGCCTATAGACAACCTATAGGCAACAGAAGTAATTAAATTTTTTTTTCATGTATCCTCCTTTTTTTGGCCAGTCCTGGGGCTTGAACTCAGGGTCTGGGCACTGTCCCTGAGCTGCATTTGTTCAATGATAGCACTCTACCACTTGAACTATAGTGCCCCTTCCAGGTTTTTCTGTTTATGTGGTACTGAGGAATTGAATCCATGCATGCTAGGCAAGCCTTCTACCACTGAGCCACATTCCCAGCTCCTCATGTATTCTCTTGTTCTGTTAATAGGTTGAGGTTTGTCTATGGCTATGCTGTCTTTTTTCTTTTTTGGTCGGTCATGGGGCTTGAACTCTGGGCCTAGGCATTGTCCCTCAGCTCTTCAGCTCAAGGCAAGCACTCTACCACTTGAGCCACAGCACCACTTCCGGTTTTCTGGTGGTTAATTGGAGATGAGTCTCTTGGACTTTGCGGCCTGGGTTGGTTTTAAACCACTATCCTCAGATCTCAGGCTCCTGAGTAGCTAGGATACAGGTCTGAGCCACCGGTGCCTGGCTCCAAATGCTTTCTTAAAAAGAAATTTTGAAAGCCCAGTTCTTTAATTAGAAGCACTTGAGTTAACTATATTGGGATAAGTAAATATGGCTTAAACAATTTTAAGATAAAAAATTAGCACAAAGGACTTTTTAGTGTAAGTACATTGATTTTTGAGATGTTCTGTATCCTATTGTTTTTGAGTTTTTATTGGAATAACATTTTTTTTTCCTCATTTTGCTGCCAATCGGCAATATTTATACAAGCAATACTAAAAAATTCCTCATATTGAAAGGGAAGCATAGGCTTGGGAGCCAGACCAGTCTTTGGCCTAATCCAGTTACTAGTTTGCACATATTTTTGGTTTTTCAGTTCAATTTGCACACAATACTTTCCCTTTTCCAGTTTATCAACAAAGGGGGTAAAGATTTTTGAAAAGAACTGAATTGGGAAATTTGAGGGTTTTCTTTTCTTCTTTTTTTGGGGGGTCTGGTAGTGGGGCCTGAACTGTGGGCTTGGGCGCTGTCCCTTAGCTCTTCAGCTGAAGGCTAGTGCTCTACCACTTGAGCCATAGCACCACTTCCGGCTTTTTTCTTTTTGCTTATGTGGTGCTGAGGCATCGAATCCAGGGTCTCAGGCATGCAAGGCAAGCGCTCTACCACTGAGCCACCTTCCCAGCCCAAATTTGAGGGTTTTCTATCTGTTATTCAACAAGGTCAAGTAATCTGCTCTCTGAGGCACAATAACTGGATCTCAATCTGAACAATGAATGAAATGTATAAAGAAAGAGGTAAAATCAGATATGACATAATTAGCATAATGAATTCTCATAGTAAGTAGCCAGTAAATACTAGTTTCAATAATCTATATGTAGATAAAATAATATGGTTAGTGGGTATTTTGTTTAGTTTTTTGTTTATACAGTAATATTACTTCTATATAAAAAGATAACTAAATGCGAAAGTGATTGTATTCTCTTATTTAGGAAAAGAAAATGAAAGTGATAATCGCATTGTCTATATTCCCTATAGTTCCTGTTTTCCACTGTTTCTCTTGACCTATTTTGCTATGAGTCTGGTTGAAGAATGTGTATTGCATATAAAAATTAGGACTTAATTCATCACATCAGATGAGTTTTAGAGTAGCTACACATTTGCTTTTGCTAGTGCAGATTCTCGGGTCCTTCTCAAGAGTATTGAATCAGAAGAAAATGGAAGATAACACTTGGCTTAGTATATCATCCAGGTAATTGTGGTATGTGCTAAAATTTGAGAACTACTACCATAATCCACCTAGAAATTGAAATGGTTAGCAAAACATTACATTTCCGTCTAATTCAGATTTATTTGCAGGCTGTAATCCTAATCCATACTTCAAGTTGTTTATATAGCCCTTTGTGCTTGTTTCATGTATCCAGAACTCCCATTTTTGCCTCTATAACTTTGGAAGTCCATTGGAAATGTAGCTTCTCAGCATAGGAAAACAGCGCAGAATTTCAATTTGACTCTCTGGATTTCCTGTCCCAATAGTCTCACAAATCAGAAGAGATGAAGAAGAGAAAATGATAAGCAGGGTGTCAAAATAGATATTTTTGGATGAACGAAGACAAGAACTATATTGGGTAATGAACTCTCAGGAGACTTGTTTAGTAGAAGGTACATTTTGAGGTATTGTGAGGGTTCTGTGGGAAGACAGAGGGTCTTATTTGTGAAGAACTAGGGGTCCTGTTATACTGTGAGATCCCCAAGATGATTGTAATAGGTTTATACCTATTGTAATAGGTTTATACCTATACGTGTATACCTATGAAGCATTACCTCACTTTCTGTGTTTATACAGAAACTTTCACACAGGAGACACATATAGAGGCTGGGTGAGATGGTTCATGTTTGTAATGCTAGTTACTTGGGAGTTAGTTAGGGTAGGGTCTTGGCTTGAGGATAGCCTGGCAGAGGAAAGGTAGTAAGACCTCAGCAAATGAACTGGGTGTGGTGGTATACATCTGTACTCCCAGGTTTGTGGTGGGCTATTGGTAGAAACCACTGGCTTGAAAGCTGGCCCTGGACAAAGTATGGAGATCCTACCAAGAAAACAGCTGAAACAAAAATGGCTGAAGGCGAGACTGAGTCTAGCAAGCTCAAGGCCCTGAGTTCAAACCCTGGTACTGCCAAAAAAGAAAAGACATAAGTTAAGATGAGAACTTATTGCTACATTTGGCAATACTACCCTGCATAGTAGTAAGGCCTATCAAGCTGTGTAAATGCTTATATTTTTAACTGTCTAGAGAAAGCTAGCCTAAAATCCACTATCCTTATCTTTTCAAATCTTTGAAAACATTGACATTAAAAGAAAAATCCCATATTCCTTCAAATTTGCATTATCAGATAGTACAATTGAATTACTCTCAGATGGGCACCACTGCTGTCTCCATACATTCTTACTTGGTTTTTAAATAAATGAATTTTCAAGTCATTGTTAATAAATATCATATTATGGTGTTTATTTACTCTAACATTTATGGATCTTTTTACAGTTAAATCGTCCGTCTGAATTTGTTGATAATTCTGGTGATTACATCTTGAAGACATATGTAAAACGAAACAAGGCTGAAAGTTTTAAAACTTTGAAAGGCAACCCAATTGGACTTAACATGTTGAGCAGCAATAAGAAATTGAGGTATAGGCACTTACCACACTTCCTACAGAAAATATAAAGCTAATAGGCCCACTCTGTAGCCTTTGTTTTGAATTTTCCACTTATAACGAGGTAGAGTAGTTCCAATAAGTGGATTTTGCAGTGATTTTTGAGTTCCAAATAAAACATACTGCAAAAAAAATAAAATGTTGGTAGGCTGACATCTTGTGTAGTTGCTTTCAAAAAAAAGAGGAAAGTCTCAGTCCCTAGTTTTAATAATGGAAGTAGAAAGCATAGGGTAGGGTGATCTTGACTCAGAAAATGCTAATTCAGATTATCTCAACAAGAGACTTGTGTTTTTCTTTATATCATCTAGATATAGCCCACGATTCCTATTGGCTATCATCCTAAATTACTGATGCTGTGGGATTGGGCTATCAGTAACAACACAAATAGGGCTGAGACATCAATATTTGATTGCTGCTCTATTTGTAAATCCACTGGTATGATCTATAAATGTTAAATAACTTGAATTAGTGGCATTATCATAAGTAGGATTTAGAACTCCTAGTTTCTACTTGGATTAGAAACATTTGAAAGATGAATTCAGGAAGTAGATAATTAGTGAACAGTTTTACAGTGTAAATTGAATTTATGTTTTGTTTTTTAAGTGATAAAGGTTATTTCTGTATGTGTTCAGATGTTAAAGGATTTAATTTCAGTGTGTATGTAATTTTTTCCCTATTCAAGTTATTCTTTGTTTATTGGCTCTGCAGTGAAAATACACAAACTGCATCATTATGTTCTGGAACAGTAGTTCATGGTAGACGTTTTCATCATGCTCATGTACAGATACCAGTAGTAAAAACCGCAGCCCAAAGGTAAGGATTCTATGTCTCCTTGTAGAGTATATTCAGACACTCTTTAATAGGGATTTCTACTTCAAAAATAACTTTTCTCCTTTGTGTTACTTTACTGTTGTCACTTTATATAAGGAGCTATATCTCTGAAATCACTCATGCTCTGATGATTTTATCATTTTCTGTTTGCATTTTTCACATTCTGTAAGTAAGAATAAAACTTTTATTGGCTTTATAAGGTTTATTAAATTTCATGGTACCAAATGACATGGTTAAATATTTGAGAAATTGTTGATTTTAGCAGTTTCATACAAATTTAGAGATTCTTATTGATCTTGAAAGCACTGTAATAGGAAATGTTTTTGAGGAATTCAGAATTACTTGGGAAGTTGATTTTCCTTCTTAGTTTAAAATTTTTAAGCTTCAGCAGTTAGTCTGTTGATTATAAATACTTTTTTATAACTGGTAAGATTTAATTTTTGATATCCTTTTATGTGCTATATTCTTCACTTTTAAGAATGTCGATCTAGGTCAGTATTCATTAAGACAGTATCATTTGAACCTTTGGAGCCCACACGTTTACGTAGATTTTCAACAACATAAGATACTTGAAATTTAAATTTCCTTCATACTTTTAAGATTTTTTTTTTTATAAAGAAACCTTTCTCTTGTTTACATGTTACTTTATCAGTTTCCATGTGATATTTTAAAAGAAATTTAGTTTAAAATAGAGGAAGGCATTACTGCACATAACACGAATGTGCTAACCATAATGCACAGTACAAACAAATCAAGCTCTTGGACCTACCTGTGGCACAAGCTACAGTGTAGATTGAAAGTAATTTGAGGAAGGTAGGGAAGGAAAGAAGGAAGGGAGGGAGGGAGGGAGGGGAAAGAAAGAAGACACTGTTCATACACAAGTCAACTGAAAGTATAATCAAGTTAACTGATGTATTTTATAGCCAGGTACTAGCTTAATACTGCTTTTGAAGTTTCTGTAGTTTGAATTATTTACAGTGACTTACTCATTTTTATTTTCCTGTTAGAACATTTGAAAAATGATTACAATCTGAAAATTAGGTTGTGTTTTGTTTCATTTCCAAGTCTCACCACCTATTATAGCTTCTAATGCGTATCATTGTTCATCTACATTAAGGTTTAGATTTATTCTATAAGAGCTAATGTTTATTGGTAAAATAGTGAATAGTGTTCCTTAAGAAATAACAATAAGATGTGTGTGTAATCCTTACATTTAGAAAGTTATGCTAAGAACATCATGTCTTTGAGACCAGTCTGGGACTATATTGTAATACCTTGTCTCTGAAAAGAAAAAAAATGAGGAAATGAAATAATAAAAACTTTTATATTCAAAGATAATTTCAGGTGAAAATACTTGGCAAGGATTACTGGGAGCAGTAAAGGAAACTGGAATCAAATAAGCAGGGCAGATTTGTCTGTCTTTTATTCTGGGTATAAATGAACATTTCTTATTCCAGCTGTGGTTTAATTGTCATTAAAAAGATTTTGAAGTTCAAAGATATGTTTTTTTCAGTTTTCTTCAAAAATACGTGGTTTTTAAGCTGTGAAACAGGCATAGATGAGAAGTAGGATATTTGGAGATGAACATATATGATGCAGTCCCTGCTCTTGGAGCTCAGGTTTAATTAGGGTAGAGATAGGTAAGCAGTGATTACATGGTAAGTTCAATAGTAGAGATGTATGTAAGAATATCACAGAGCAGTGAAGAAGTCACAGGACAGGATGTTTTAAAGGGCTTTTGAACCAGGTGCTGGTGGCTTATGCCTGTAATTGTAGCTACACCAGAGGCTGAGATCTGAGGATCATGGTTTGAAGTTAACTGGGGCAACAAAGTCTATGAGAGTCTTATTGAACTACCAGAAAACTGGAAGTGGAGCTGTGGCTAGCCTTGAGCGAAAAAGCTCAGGGACAGCACTCCGGCCCTTAGTTCAATTCCCCCATGACCAACCAAAATAAAAGAGAGCTTTTGAGTGTCCTAGTTAAAAGAGGACATTCTGTGTCTTTAAAAGCACATCGTGTTCAAAGCCACTCGAGAAAAACTTAAGATAGTTGCCTCCAAACAGTTGGCACTACTATGAACCTCAAAGGGAAACACAATAGCTTCCCTACATTTTCTTTTTTTCTGACTTTAAAATTTAAAGTGATGCTTCCAGTTTGGTAACTCACAGAACATTCTTCTTGGGGTGAGTAGTATAGCCTTGTTTTAAAGTGAGTCATAATTGCATGCTGAGTGATTTAAGTTAAGAAAACAAATACTACATACCTTTTTAATCAGAAAGAGGCATGTGAAAATTGTTAAAATATCCCATTTATTTAGTCATGAGAGAGAAATAAGATTTCAGTTTGTTTTCTTAGGCTCTCTTCTTAAATATTTGACCATGCCTTTTCAAGAATTTTTCAGAATTCTACATATCCTTTTTCTGTTGAACAATACATATGAGATTGCTTATATTAAATTAGTTTGTGTATTGATAAGCAAGATTTAAAACATAGTATGTAGTGTATATGAATGTCTTTAAAACAAATTGATCCTATTATAGTTTTGCATTATTGACTATAGTTACTACAACTACAATGACATCAATGAGGTCTTGCCTCTTACATTTTTTTCTTTTTATGTTTTAAGCAATCAGGACCGAAAAGAAAGGTAAGCTTAATATTCATAAAATTAGAGCATGAGTATAGAAGTAAAGCATCAGATTGTTTATATGATTTGAAAAATATCCATTTAATTAGCATTCACATTAAAGCTTATTTTATGAAAGGAAATGTAATGGTACAGTATGATATTTGACTGATATTTTATGTGTGGTTTTGTTTTAGCATTAATTCCTAATGGCCTTTAGAAAAAAAAGTCTCTTATTCCAGACTAGGGTAGTGGTATTTACCTATAGGACTTGCAGCCCATCTCAACAAACAAGCTTAGTGTAAATTTGTATACCTATAACCCCAGCAAGTTGGGAGATACATTAGTAAGCTCCAAAGCTAATCCTGGGCAAGACCCTGTCTGAAAAATGAGTGAAACATAAGAAGCACTGGGGATATGGCTTAAGTGTTGGAGCTCCTAGAGTATGTATACAAGGCCCTGAATTAAACCTCAGTACTGCCAATAAAACTTCCTGCAAAACAAAACTTTCAACTCACTGTGAGGGTGCACCTCTGTAATCCTAGCATTCAGGAGCAGCAGGAGAATCATGAGTTTGAGGCCAGCCTGGACTACATAGTGAGCTCAAGGCCAGTCTATGCTACACAGTGATACCTTGTCTCAAAAAAGAACAAAAATCTTTTATGGTAATACTTTTGTAGTAATACTCCTAATTTCAGTATGGAAGAGGAATAGAATTTAGCACCGTAAGCTTGGAACTAAAACTTCTTTTTTTTTTTTTTTGGTCAGTCATGGGGCCTGAACTCTCGGCCTGGGCGCTGTCCCTCAGCTCTTCAGCTCAAGGCTAGCGCTCTACCACTTGAGCCACAGCACCCACTTCTGGCTTTTTCTGCTTATATGGGGCTGAGGAATCGAACCCAGGGCCTCATGCATGCAAGGCGAGCACTCTACCACTGAGCTACCTTCCCATCCCCAGAACTAAAACTTTTAAACATCAAATGTTTTCTATTTTGGCCCCAAAAAAATTGTAATAGAATTTCATGATCAGCTCTCTATTCTGTCAGTATTTTTTCCATTTAAAAAAACATTTTTAAGTGGAGTTCAAATGTTAAACTGCTAGCCTTTAACAAGAAAACTCAGGGACAGTGCCCAGGTCCTGAGTTCAAGCTCCAGAAGCCACTGGTCCATGCCTTTAATCCTAGAGATTTGAGGATAGTTTGAAACCAGCCCAGGCAAGAAAGTCTGTGAAACTCTTACCTCTAATTAACCACCAAAAAGCTGGAAGTGGAGCTATGGCTCAAGTAGTAGAGTGCCAGCTTTGAGCAAAAAAGATCAGTGCCCAGGCCCCGAGTTCAAATTCAAGCCCAGGACAGTACAGTACATTAATATTATACGTACATATATATGTATGTATATGCATCAACATACAAGATTTCATTTTATCCATAAATGCATACAGTGTACCTTTTTCAGACACACCATCTCCCTGGTTCTCGTTTCTTCCCTTTGTAAGAACACCAGCAGCCAGTGTTTCTTTAGTAATTTGAATTAACATAAATGACATGGACAAAATGATTTTTAAGAATACACGTTTTTGTCAATAGTGAAATGATTGTAATTATTCTAAACTAAGTATCTCTAAGAGCTCCCCCTTCATCCCCCTCACCTCCAATGACAGATAAGTAGAGAAGTGAGTGTGCTTATCTAGTTATACTTTCCTGAGATACCAAAAGTAGTTTTGTTGACACCACCCTTATAACTCCCAAGCAGTTAAAGGCCCTTAAAGCAATACCTTCCCCTGATTGGTGAGTATAGAAGAAGGGAATTCCTATCATTTTATTTCACTTCATAAGAATCATGAAAAAGAAATGTTTTCTTGTCAGTTTTTCTCTTTCAATAAGTCATTACTTCTTGTCAGATACATATCAGTCATTTTATATCATCTTAATTTTTGACTAGCAGAGACTACCTTTGTAGCAAGGCTATAACAAAACATTTAAAATAAAATTGCTGGTAATGGGCATTAAATATATGCAGTCACATGTTTCATCCAAATAATTATTTACCTGTATGTTACAGTTTTAGGTACTGTTACATTCTCAGAATGTTAGATCTTAGATAATTTTCTCTTTCACAGTAACCTTAGTGAGTTTATGTGATTCTTTCCCACTGCTTTTACCGCTTATGCATATTTCTGTACTGGTAGCTTATTCATGGATACATTGAGCAAATATTTACATGCCTAAATGTGCCAGGTATGCTGCAAGTATCAGACTGAAATCCTTAACTCTGGTAGCTTGCAGAAAAGGCCAGAAAACAGATAGTTAACTAGCATAGACCACAGGCTCATTTTTTGTTATGCAATGAATTAATAATCTTTGCCCAACTTTAAAGGAAAAGTTGGGACAAATGAGATAATTATATATTGACTGCACTGTAATAAAAGTAAGATTACTGAAAATAAGTAGTTATAGCATTGAAATTTTTTCATAAAGATTAACTCTAGAGAATGTAAAACTCTTAGATGTATAGGCACAATGTTTTGAAAAGACCCTGTATCACATACACCTGAGTACTCCGCAACTTACTTATTGTTAGGACTAATTTAACCCAGGTCCTTTGGATCCTTCTGTTAAATTACTTTGTTTCTCTCTTTCCACTGGTTTGTGCTAGGAACCTAATACTTTGCACATGCAATACCTTGCATAAGTCTGCTGGTGAGCTGTATCCCCAGGCCTATTTTGAATTTTTCAAAAGTTAAACTAAGAAGAGCCTTTGTGTAATTAACAGATTTTACTTGGTAGTTTTTTATTTCTGTGTTTTCCTCCTCCTGAGTAATAAACGACATTTTTTTTTCTGATCTCTAATGAGTCATCTCTTATCTTACCACATATCTTGTACATAATGAACTGTGAATCTCTGAAATGAATTGCTTATAGAAATACAGTTAATGACGTCGTTTAAGGATTCAGGTGGACCTGTTGCAACAATGAGAAGTACAAAATGTCATGTCAAAACCAGCTTTACAATGTCGGTGGGGGGGTGGAGGGGGGGGTATGATTGGGTGGGGGGGAGGGGGAGGCTGGGAAGGGAGGTGAAGGGTAAACAAAGGAGGAGGCTGCAATGCTTGGTAAGAAATGTATGCATTATCCTGCCCATGTAATTGTAACCCCTCAGTACAGTATGTTCTCAAATAAAATAAAATAAAATAAAAAAAAACAAAAAAACAAAAACCCTATTTGGACAACATTAAAAAAAAAAAGAAATACAGTTAATGTAATGAAAGCAAGGAAGTTATAAAATGTTAATTTGCCCTTGGTTTTTCCATTTGCATATAATAAGGGACATTGGTATATGTTGTAAACTTAAAACCCATTTAAAAAACCATACAAATAAATATACTAAGTTTAGAGTCTGCTAACTTAGAAAAACTGCTGCCAGTTTTCTTTTTATGAGTAATCTTAATAATGTAAATAAACCAGTTTTTTTGAGGGTATTGAGTCTTGAAGTTAGGGCTTTAACATTGCTGCTTTGCTCTTTGACTCAAGGCTGTAGCCTTACCACTTCAGCCATAATTCCTCTAAAATTCTTCCCTGGCTCATGAACAGATGAATTGTGAGTGCAGTTTTGTGCTTGTTCCAGCACCCTAGAATATATAATCTGGTATTTGAATTGCTTATTTTCTTTCTTTGCCCTCTCCCTGGATAAGGAATATAATGACCCATTATAAAATTAAGCACAAACTGGGCACTGATGCTTATCACGCCTGTCATCCTAGCTATTCAGGAGGCTGAGATCTGAGGATCACCGTTCAAAACCAGCTCGGGCAGGGAACTCTGTGAGACTCTTTATCTCCAATAAACCACTCAGAAAACTGGAAATGGTGCTAAGGCTCAAGTGGTAGAGTGCTAGCTTTGAGCTGAAGAACAGCATCTAGGCCCAGAGTTCAAGCCCCACAACTGGACCTTCCCCCAACCACCCCCCCAAAAAATAAAGCACATAGTAGTTATTTTAATTTAAAGCACATAGTAGTTATTTTAATTTAGGATATACTTTCATTATTCTTATTATAAAGAATGTTTCATATTTTAGAGAAGTTTGAAACAAAAACAGTACAAAAGTGAAAAGGATCAAATCAAAACAGGAAATACAAGAGTTGTTTACTATCAGGGTGAGTTTGAAGATGGAGTGTGGTTCTGCACAATACATCCCAGCCACGCAGGTCTGAGATGGGAAGGTTGTAGTTCAAGACAGGCTGGGCAATAGATGGAGAACCCCATCTCCAAAAAGAGAAAAGTATAGCTAGAGATTATAGTTTTTAAAAAGCCACCAAAGAATTGAATGTTATTACATTGTTGCAGTTCATTTCTTTTTTATCTTTTTTTCAATATACCTTTAAATATATTTAACATTCACTATGTGTAGTCATAATGAAAATACAACTCTGTTCTGAATTTTCACCTAATAAATAAGACCTAAACATTTACCTGTATCATTAAATTGGCTTCTAGGAAAACTTTTAATAACCTCATAGAAGTTTATCTTACAAATAAATATAACTTACCCATTTTCCATTTCTGGTTTTCTTTTTTTGGAGGGGGAGGGGGGTCCGGTCTTGGGCCTGAACTCAGCCTGGGTACTGTCCCTTGAGCTCTTCAGCTCAAGGCTAGCGCTCTACCACTTGAGCCATAGCGCCACTTCTGGCTTTTTTCTTTTTGCTTGTGTGGTGCTTGAGAATCGAACCCAGGGCCTCAGGCTTGCAAGGCAAGCGCTCTACCACTGAGCCACCTTCCCAGCCCTATTTCTGGTTTTCTTTACTATCATATAAAACAGATTCATGCAACAACGTTGCATTAAAAATCTTTAACTGCATCTCTTAGAAAAGTCTCTGATAAAAAGGATTCGTTGAGCTAGCCTACAAATGTTTCAGTGAGTACTGCTAAATTTTTATAGGGAAACCAGTACTATAAATTACTGCCTCAAGGTATCTGAAGATTAAATTACATTCAGATGATACTTTCATTCTTGGAATTATAAGAGAG